CTATGACAACACACATTTCTTATGTGGTTTTCCAACAGAAGTGGACTTTTGCTTCCAGCAAGGTCAAACATCTACTGCTCCAATAACATACAAATTGTCTGTTAAAGGACCTATTGAACTAGCAACTGAAATGTACCAAAGCCACTTATTGGATTTATGAGGGATTGTTGCTTTGCAATACAAGTAAGACAGTCAGGCATACCAATAATAAGACTTGACGACTATAACTTAGCAACTGACGACAGTGAGGAATAAAGGATGAACGTTTATTTTTAAAGCTTATAAATGAGTTCTTCATCAAGCTCTCGTGAACCTTCACCATCTGTGAAACAAACTTTACCAAACGATTATGGAGCACCTATTGAATATTTCTTACGAGCTGCACAATGGCAAAGAGCAGTTTCACCAAGGTTAGGTGTTCCACCAGCTCCTGTCAAAATAGCATTTGGTCAAGTCCTTATATAAGATATGGTCCTCCCACTAGGTTTGCTAGCTACAGCAGGAGCAGTAATGATGTTGAAAAGAAACAAAGCAAATGTTGTAAATAATACTGAAGTAGCTGAAGTTAAACAAACTCCAACACCTTCGCCAAAACAACGCCTTCACAAGCAAAACCTTCAATGACTCCTGAACCTATGGAAGTACAAACTCCTGTTCAAAAGTCAACTCCTAAACCGACTCCAACATTTAAACCAGAACCTACTCCTCAAATAAATCGTAAAACTCCTGCGTTTCCTTACTGAAAAATAACGTTATTTTTATTTTATTTGAACATTTTATTTAGAGTAAAATGACGACTAAAGTCACTGAAGCAATGAAACAAAAGTTTTTGGTAGAATACATTAAATCAGGAGCGGTTCCAGAAGGTTTTTACGTTCATACTATGAAGGATGGTAGAGTTCAGTTTAGAAAGATAAAGCAACCATTAGATAGAGAAGGTATATTAAGGAAGATTAAACTTCATGAGGCCAACATTGCTGAACTTAAGAAGAAGTTAGAAGAGTTGGAGAAAGGAAGAGAGTTATAAAGCAATGAATTCAACATGGTTAGAAAAGACCCAAAGGGTCTCGCCGCTTAGCGGCTAGGGTGAAAAAAAGAGGTGAAAAAAGAGGTGAGATCTCACCACTTCACCTAAATTTATTTTTGTGCTATGTTTTCATACGTGTGAGGGTGGTGAGATCATTAATTTTAAGTTTATTTTTTATTTTTACTGAAAATTTTTATTTGGATGTAAATGACAGAACAAAAGCAACTCATTCGAATTCCACAGTATAACAAACATACATTTAAACATTTATTCTTCCTTCCTGAGCATAACATGTTCTTTCAAATACATCCGAGACCAGTTGACTTTTCATTGACTGTGTATAAAGATAGAAATAGTTATATCATTAAACCATACGATGACGAAGGTAAGTTATGTAAATTGTACGTTAAGAAGTTAGAGAAAGTTTATGGCTTCAAGTATGACTACAATAGGGTTAACACTGATGATGAAGATATTGAGGAAAATTTATGAGAACATTAGTGAAGTTGTTAGTGAGAACGTTTATTTTTTACATTAGTGAGTTCGTTAGTGAAGTGAAGTGGGTGGTGGTTTTGTAAATATTTAAGGTTAAGTTAGTGTTGTCGTTTGTGTTGTAAAATACACGTTAACGGTTTTGTAAAGTGTCAAATTCACAAGTATTGGGTAAAGTGAAACGCAGTGCCACCATACACGACTTAGCCATACTAACTTATATTCGTTTTTTCATGTCTCGATGTTGATTTTTGGTATTTATCAGATTGTTCCCTGATAAATATTTTATTTTCGTCTGTAAAGTTTGCTCTTTTTTGATTAAATATATATGATTTTCCCATTAAAAAATGAAATGATGCAAAATTTACGAAAACCGTTCGAAAATTGAATCAAAAATGAAAAGTAATACTTAAATAAGTAATTCTTTGAGATATTGGTCTTAGATTGAATGTAGCGTCATTCTTATATAGAATATATATTCATATCATCGGAAATATGATAAAAAGCATATAATAAATGTCAAAAAAGTGAACAAATAAGCAAAGATATTTTTTAAAAAACAATGAAAAGTAATACTTAAATGAGTAATTCTTTGAGATATTGGTCTTAGATTGAATGTAGCGTCACAAATTTCACAAATATAATTTACTATACAATTTTATTCTTTTTTTTTAAAATGGCTGACGACAGTCTGTATCAACTAACTCAACTAGTCAAGCATAATGATTATTCTTCGGATTCATTAAATCAACTTTATCAATGCATAAGTACAATGACAGAAAGATCAATTGGATGCTTGAATTGGGATAAATTTTTCAAAAAAATCACAGTGACTGATGAAGTTCTTTTACATTTTTTAGCATCCGTTTTAAACATTGAAAAGATATCAGAATGTTTCAAGGATTCTATTTTTTATCACAATATTAATCTTGAAAAATTCAGTAATTTAACTGAAACAGAACAACAAACAATTTTAAATTCCTACAAAGCGGATAAATTTACATATTACATAATGTGCTCACAAATTGTAAAATCAAACTGGAACAATTTATCCCAAACTTTAGTTAATATTGCAAATCAATATTTGCCATTTTTAGATGAAGAAAAGCAAATATATATATTTACTGAAAGAACTGGCAATTATCAAAATTTTGAAATTTCAGTTGCAAACTTGTTACTTTTTTATGAAAACAATGAAGAAAAATTAAGCAACTGTTTTAATTTAACATTGTTCCAGCAAATTTATTCCAAAAATGGAATCGAGCAAATGATATTTTTTGCTGCAAATACAATTTGTTGCAATAACACTTCTATCAATTTTTACAATCTCCTTGAAATTGAAGAAATGAATCCATTTGATTTTTTTTATTTCTCAATTCAATATAAAGAGATATTAAATTGCGATGATTTTCCAAAAGTTACAGAAGTAATCACAGGTTTAATCTCAGCTTCAAATATTAATGCTATTATGCGAATTTGCCAAAAAATTTTGGATAAATTACATTTTATAAATGTAATTATTGCCATATTACCTCAATATGGAATTTTATCACAAATGCAGCAATAATTCTTCCTGATGAAGATTTATTAATCAAATTATTAAAATTCATAGAAAAAACAGAAAAAGCAACAGATGAATTATTCGAACCGGAGAATGATTTGGGTTTCTATGAATATTTAAATCCGATTTTCTCAGATATTACATCTGCGAGAAATAAGCAATTTCTCTTGGAATTTCTAAATACCCATGAAGATGACTTCACTTATGATCAAACATTGTGAGGTCATTTTTGATCAACAAATTAATTGAAATTCCGATCAAAAAAATTCACAAATTGGATCAAAAAACGAATCTCAAGTTAAAAATAAAAAATTTCTACATTTTTATCAAATTTAGATTTTTTTTTCAAATCATGCGAATTGATTGAATAATTGCATATTTTATCCCATGCATCTAGAAGTATGTGTAATATTTTTGCTTTCATCAAGAAATTGTCGAATTTGATCTTAATTTTTTTTGAAAAATATACTTTTAGAAAAAGAAATAGTGATTGAATAGCTGCCCATGCTGTAAAAGGGTTATTTTGACAAGTAAAAAAATTGTTATTTTTCGAGCAAGTCGAGGCTTTTTTACCATCTTATTTTTGAAAAATTTACGAAAAATTATATCTGGAAAAACGCTTCATTTTGATATCTTACAATGATAAAATACCAATGTTGCTGGGATATAATAGCTACACCTGGACATCTACTACATTAATGCGTATGACAGGTAAAGTTGATTTCAAAAGTATAGCCTGGAAAGATTACAATAAATCAACGATAATTCAAAAAAATTTCTTATAAGTTAACATAATAAAAATTTAATTTTTATATTGCTTGTATTATACTTAAGTATATAATATATTTAAATCTTAGAATGAAAATTCGGGACGCCCTAGCTATTCAATTTTCCCTTAGGACGCCCATAAACCTTTCAAAAATGTGATGTAAATATCACAATTTTGAGAAATTTACACTAGGACGCCTTAGGACGCCAACCCCCTTTTTTACCCATTATTTCAAAAGTCAATAATTCTCTAGTAACTTTTCTTCAAACCCTAACCATTATATTATATGTATAATGGAGAATAATTGCAAAGAAAGATAGCCGAATTTACTGGGTAGTTCTTGTGATGCAAAATAATTGCAAATTAACACCTAGTTTTAACAGCATCAATCTCTTTTTGCTCTCATTTAAATGCATTCGCACACTTTAATTTTGAAATATAAGAGTTTTGGAAATTATCAAATTTATCTGCTCAAATACTATAGATCTTCATAAGTGTTAATAGAATCATTAGCCTTACATATAGTGTTTAATATAATGATGCACATTATACTGGGATTCATTCCTTATTCATCTAGTTATTATAAGATTTACAACCCCATGAAAATTTAAAATTTTGTCAAAAATAGTGAATGTACCTTTTGCAAATGATTAGAATATTTTGTTATCTGTTTAATTTTTTAATCAAATTGGACTTAGAATTAAACTTATCGAAATTCCTCAAAATGAAAAATGTGTATAGATAGCACAGCTTCTTTAATATGACTTTTCTGTATCTTGACGATAGCATATGCTAGTTCGTTAATGATAAAATTGGTTAATTCATATGTAAGGTTTCTAATAATGAATCATTTATGAATCAATCATATAAATCTGTCATAATAGCATATGGTTATTAAAAGTCCCATCTCACAGCATTCAATTTGAACTTGAAACAATCAAGATCAATAAATTGTCAATAACAAGTCCCGATCTAAATGACCAATAGCAATGTTGTACATTTCTAAGAATTTTCGGTGAATTTCATTTATTGAACATTTTCCAAATTAGAAATCTATAATTTTCAGTCTTCAAGGTTCTTAAACTTAATCAAACACACTATAAAACCTTTCGATTTGTTCTTTCAAAAGTTATTTACATAAAAATTACATTTTACTCTATAATATGAACATAAATAATACAACAAGATAAAGCAACAGCAAATACAAGGAAGAATACAGATATAAATCCCCATATTTCCCTGAATTTAAATGCTTTAAGATACAAAATTGGAGGTAGGATCAAAGAAAAGAACAAATATGAGATATTTCCAACGATTTCAAAATATAACTCGTTTCTGCCTTCAAAATAAGTTAAAAGTAAGCAATTAAGGAGTATAATTGTAAGATATGACCAAAGTTTAACAAATAAACTTTCATTCTTATGGAAAAGTTGTGTCAGTTCATTAGAGGCTAAGAAAATATAGCCAGCATTTGTGACTAATGCATTAATAAGAACTCCAACATGTCCAACGGTCGTCATTGCATATTTTTCATCATAAAAACCTGTGATCAGTTCTTCGTCACAGATGCCATAAAAATGAAAGTGTCCTAAAAGTGGAATTGCAAAGTTAACTATAAATGCAAGAGCTGATGATGAATAAACAACATTCATAATTGTTGATTGTTTTGTGTCTTTAAGATACTTCGAAATAGCACAAATGAATGGGCCGATCCAGAAAATGACAATCCATGTTGCAAAGCCATGAATTGTCTCCCAGAAATCTTTGACAAACCACTGAAGTTTTTTCTCAGGATTGAAGCCAGTATCTTTCATATCTTTAACGAAGAAATAAATAACTGTAGCTAAGACAAGCATCTCTGCTATATTTGCCAAGATAAAGTACAAATTCATATCAACAAATCTTTTGAGGAATATTACCGGCAAACTGAAAGCTGTGCATATGCAATAATAGATAAATGGATGAGAAGTTAAAATAGTACCATCGCCTAATCTTGGAATGACAATTGAGTGTATCGTTGTCTTTGTATGATGCATAAGTAAAATAGATGAATAAACTAATGCAATTATAAACACTATTCTGATTCCAATAGATCCGTGACCAAATGCATCATGAGCAATGTCGGTCCTGATAAATAAAGCAGATGCAACTAAATTTAGAATAAGTCCTAGAACTGCAGTAATAGTCATATTGATAACACCGTAATAGTGTTGCATGCTAAGTTCGGTCAACGATAGAAATTGAGTGGAAATTAATCGTCGAGGAAGTACGATTATGTAAAGTAAAAAATGTTGTGGGATTTTTAATATTATATATTATTTTATAATAAAATTTTTTTGAGTCATTTTAAGAAGCACATATAATTTTTTGAATTTAAAAATTAAAGTAGTGTCAAACGAATTTATCACTTAATTTAATACTCAGATTTCTTAAAATTAATGAAAAAAAGGTTTTCTGAGAACTTTTGAGAATGGTTTTCAAATTCCATTATTGAAAATATATAGGTATTGTATGAAATTCAAACTCTATATTTATTAAAATTCTAAATTTTTATAAAATAACTTTTCAGAGGAATATGATTTTGAATGGTTGATTAATAAGTATAAAAATGTCTACGATTTTAAGGAGGGAATTGTTCCTTATGAGGTATACATCATAACTATATACCTCATAAGGAACAATTCCCTCTTGATAGCTGGGAAACTTTCTCTGAATAACTTATCATTTGAGAAAGTTTCCCAGCTATCTATTAGAAACTAAAGGCTGTGAGGCACTAATATATAATCAGTGCCTCATAGCCTTTAGTTTCTTATTAAAAACGAGAAAACTTGTTCGAAATGATAAACAATTTCGAACAAGTTTTCTCGTTTTAAGGAGGGAATTGTTCCTTATGAGGTATACATCATAACTATATACCTCATAAGGAACAATTCCCTCTTGATATCCTGGATATTTTTGAATATATTTTTTTAATTAAAGTTCTCAAAAGTATTATCAAAAGTGATTTTTTAAAAATATCTCCAATTAATTAACTAATTAAAAGTATTATATTTTTAAAATTAAATAGTTTTTCAATTTTTTTGAAGGAATTGAGATACTTCCCACGACAATAAAATTGAGAGGTTTACATTATGACTGATCTTAGCATGCAACAATAGAAGTGTGCATCGAGCTGTAATGAATCACATCTTGACATCATTGCAAAAATTGTGGAGATCGCAAGAGTCCATGTAGTAGGATTTGGATCAATATTAAATAGTTCTCTCTTGTTACCAACTGAGAACTTATAATCATCGAGAAGCATATCTCCTCCAAGCATTTTTTATGTTTGTTATCAAAAGTATTGAGAAGTATTGAAATCATTAACGCAATTTTATATCGTGAATGGAGTATCTTATATGTATTGGAGTATATTTAAGATGATTTCAATTGAAAATCTTGTAGCATAAAATTGTGAAAGTTTGAAAAATATACGAATGTATAATTATATCAGGTAAATTGTTTAAACATATTTCGAAGATAGCTATTTTTTTATCTGAAATTTTTGAATATTCTTATTGGAACAAATGAGACAATACAGTTGAACATAGTTTTATTTTTAATAATAAATTTTAAAACGTATTATATAACATGGCTTTTGAGAATATCTCAAACTTGGATTTGAATGATTAAAACCAATTTAACAATTGTTTTAGTTTATATGGATGATTAGAAATCTATTAAAATCATTTACATAAAATTCAATAGTAAATGAGCATTATTTTGAATAATTAACTATCATATTTTTAATGCAACCGTATTTTACAGTTAAATAAATATGATACCTATAAATCTATCGATTTGAATTTATTTTTGAAAATGTATTCAAAAGAATTGAATAGTTTAATTTTTTAACGTTCATTTATTAACCATTTTTCCATCAAAAATATGCAATATGCCCTATCTTTATTAACAATGTTACAATTTACATCACAACGTCAATTTATTGACTGTTTTCAAAAATTTCGATGAAAGTATTCAAAAAATCATTACTTTTATCCTCTAACGAACATAAATTCATAATACCCTAAAATATATATAATCATGAAATTTTGAAATTGAATATCTTTTACAAATTCATCATAATCATTGAGGAACATGTAGAATTTCGTTCCTATATGATAGTTGTAACAACAAAAATTTTATTACTTTTAAATGGCTACAGTTTTCTATTGGATATCGGAATTGATTTCTTTGGAGTTCATATATTGCAACTTCACTTGAAGTTGATAATTCTATTTTGGGTTATTATCTATAATATCATTTTTTTTTATTCTCATTAACTTTTCAATTAATTGTAATTGTGTTTAAAATGAGATTTTGTTTTAACATTCTTAAAACGTTATGTATCGATCATAATCTGAGTTAATTAACCCATAAGAAATATTCAAATCTTGTCTTCAGTTTTCATATGTTAATGGATAACATAATAAAATATGATGTAAGTACAGTTCTATCTTGAAGAGAAAGTGATGTTTTATCGTTTTCGCATCTGATTTTGAAACAATAACATTTTGTAATCGTTAAAGTAACTTTATCGAGATATATGTCCTTATCCATCTATCTAATTCCAGACAAATTATCCAAATTTTCAGGTAAATTTCATATTGAATTCTATAATGATCGAAATATCCCAGAAAGTATTTAGTTTATAATCTCTATTATCCAATAAAATCAGGCGATCATCGGTAAAACTATGTAATATTTTATTTATAAAAACAAACAAAAAATTTTTAAAAAAAAATCTTGGTTACTGAATTTTTGCTGCATAAGTTTCATGGACAACAGCTCCACACATATTTCCGAAGATTTTCTCTTCGCTCTTATCCAATTCCATTCTTGTAGGATTGATCATTTCGATACTTCCAACAACTCTTCCATTTGCTCTGTATGGGAAACAAATTGATGTTTCTCTTTTTACTTTTAACTGATCATATAATTGAGGCAAATATCTTTGTTTTGTATCATTTGCTCTTGTCCAAACTGTCTCTCTATAGTTATAAGCCTGTCCAGCAGCGCAATCCTCGAACTTGCACTTGACATCTGTTGGGAAATATCTCATGTATCTTCCATCGAAAATACAAATAAACATTTCAGTGCAACCAAATAACTTCTTGGCTGTTCCAAGTAACGCTGTGTACTTATCAACACCTGTTGTAGATATGGCAGATATAGTATCAATAGCAGCATCGAGGATATCTCTTTCGTGTTGAATCTCTTTCTTCTCGTTCTTTTGGTCTTGAAGAAATGTCGCGAGTTTCAATGCGTCGCAAATTAAAGGTGTCATTTCGGATACAAGTTTTGAGTCTTGGTTGGAGAATGATGGTGCGTTTGGTTTGGCTCTTAATGTTATAACATAATGAGCTCTTCCTTGTTGTAATGATCTACTAAGTATTGATCTATTCGCGAACTTTCCGTCCAATACTTCTGACAATTTTTCGTGAACTTGGCCATGAGGAACATTCACGATTGATGGAGAGATTCCTGCTTGGAAAGAGACACCTCCTTCAACTTCTCCGAATCTCTCACCATCGGAAAGTCTTATAAGGCATCTGTACCTGTCATCGAACTCGAACAAATCGCATTGCTCGCATGGAATTGTCATCGTGAAAAATTTCGAAATCATTTTCGCTGTGTGAGAAACTGAAGAAGTTTCTACTTCGGAGAAAATGTTTGAAACATTAGATGGAACAACTCTATATGTTGGAACAGAGAAGAATCGTTTCTGAATAAGATCACGGACAATCTTGAAAACTTCGAAGTAATATGGAGTAAATTCCATTTGTTCTTCTGTAATTGGGTTTTTAAGACCAACACATTGAAGAACAGCAACAACTTCGTCATCAAAGAAAGTGATTGGAAGCAATAACATTGATTTAACTCCGCGAAGCAAAGGTAAATCGTTTGATATTGAGAAATTTTGGAAATTTCCTGGATCTCCTGTATTATAATCATCTTTATGTAAGAAAGGTACACCTACACATGATTGGTCAAGAGGAAGTACTGCTTTCAGTGTTTGAGATGTTAAATAATTTGAGTTATCCATTTTTGTCCAAATTGTTATGCGTTGCATTGAAATAAGCTTTGGAATGTGGGCTTCAAGTTCAGGTATTGTTTGGCATGTTTGTATTGCTGAGTAGAAATTAAGTTCTTGAGTCATATTAATCATAAATTTTTGTAATTCAGATTGGGTTAGAGAAAGCGCTACACTGCTAACAATCTCTGAGTCTAAGTAACCTTCCATAAACATGGTTCTCAAAAATATTGGTGTTTGAGTCAAATAATTAATACATCTTTTTGGAGTCATCGCTTTTAGAAGGTCGAACGTTAAGAAAATGCTAGAATTTACAACTTCTGTCTCATTTTTCTCTTCCTTTTCTACAACATCCTTTGGTTCTTCTTTAAATGGTTGAACAATGTCGCGAATATTTAGATTTGAGATTCGAGTCGGTACTTTTTTGTATGAAGTTTTGGCGCGTGCACTTCTTTCTGAAAATTCGGCATTAATATGTGAAGTAGTTTTGATTCTTTTCATTTCAAGATCTGCGTTGTAATTAGTTCTTGCTGTATTACGCATTGTAGCAGAATATGATTTGGTAGAGCGAGATGATGGAAGATTTCCAAAGTTCGACGCTGCTCTCCTCGCTGTGCTACTCATATTTTTACAAAAGTGTACGTTAAATTTGCTCAGTATAAATGTAATCGGATCATAACGCTGTATAGAACAAAGATAGAAAAGTATAAGCAATAGCCTTTGATAGTGTATGTAAAACTGTTATGATTCATATGATTTATGTTTGATCAATACCTACTATTTTCATAGAAAAAACTCAACAAAACATCAACTTGCCTCCGGTAATTCTATTCCTCACTAAAAAAGCCTAACACTCTAGAATATTACTATATTTTAGATGCACTACTAAATAATTGTGTATTAATAAGAAACTGTTCCGATAGGTAGGAAATGTAATGAGTTACACGACAAAAAAAGTTAATTTATCAGGTGTGAATGTAATGTTTAGTGAAAATTATGAATAGGTTACAAGTTATTAAGTCTTAAATCCAAAACCGGTAAATTGAGCAAATTTATTTCATGAAAAATAAAAAAGTAAATGTAGTATTTAGTATATAAAAACGATGTATTTTGCAATGTTTACTCAACACTTTTGTCAGGATGCAAATTTGATGGTTAATCAACCTATCATGTTTAATGTTGGATCTTTCTTCCATAAACATATGGAACGAAAGCCTTTCTTGCGATGAAATGACCTCTGCCCTCTGTTGCTGTAAGCTTTCCTTCCTTGTATTGGGCAATTCCGTCCTTAACTTCGACTTCCCAGACGATTTCACCTCTTGAGAGGGTCATGACTGGGACACCTGTGACTTCGAGACCTTCCCAAAGGTTGTAGTCGACGGCGGATTTCTGAGAATCGTGGTTGATTGTGCGCTTGGCCTTTGGATCGATAATTACGATATCTGCATCAGAACCTTCTTGGATGGCACCTTTCTGTGGCCATAAACCGAAGATTTTGGCAGCATTTGTAGATGTGGCCTGAACGTACTCCATTGGAGAGATTAAGCCTTTGTCGACACCGTAGTTCCAAGCGAGGACCATTCTCTCTTCAATTGCAGGGCAACCGTTTGGAATCTTTCTGAAATCGTCCATTCCGCGGCGCTTGTATTGTAAATCGATTGGGCAGTGATCAGTAGCGATTGTCTTGAGGATTCCCTTTCTAAATCCTCCCCAAAGAGCTTGTCTATCTGCTTCTGTTCTGAGTGGTGGAGATAAGACAGCTCCTGCAGCGATATCGAAGTTAGGATTGCTGTTGATTTCCTTTGTTAATGTAAGGTGGCAGATTGTTGTCTCGCCAATGACTGGATATTCGCCTGCATTGAAATTAGCAACGACATTAAGGGCATCGATGCATGTATTGTGGACAATGTAGAGAGGAGAATGTGCGGCAGCAGCATAGCCAGCAGCATGCTTAGCAGCTGACCCTTCGCACCATGCTGGACGAGATTCTGGGTGCCACTTTGGTTGTGTCTTTCCTTGGGCGACGAGATCGGCTGCCATGTATGTAATGATCTCACCATCTTCACAGTGAGCCATTGGAAGCATACCGTGCTTGCCGGCGAATTCGAAGAATTGTAAGAAGTCCTGATCGCTATCGAGCATGATACGGCCCTTGTATGCGAGGTAGCACTTGGCAGAGTTGATGCCGTGTGCGATTGCCTTTTCTAAGGCTGCTTTAACCTCATCATTCCAATCGACTACAGACATGTGTAAGGAATAATCGATTGTTGACTTTGTGGCTGTCTTCTCCCACTTGTCAATCCACTCGCTGTGGCTCTCGCCTTTGGCTACTGGAATGAAATCGATGACGCATGTTGTGCCACCAGCGACAGCGGCTCTTGTAGCATGGACCCAGTCATCAGATGTGTTGAAATTGCCTAATGGCATCTCAATGTGTGTATGTGGATCGATACCACCTGGGCAGACATACTTGCCAGTAGCATCAATTATCTTTGCGCCTTCTGGAGCAGCTAAATTCTGACTAACAGAAACAATCTTGCCGTCTTTAATGAGAACATCGCCAATGGCCTCGGAATCGGCATTAACAATTGTTCCGTTCTTGATGAGAAGGGAACTCATTTCGAAAATAAACTTTTTTTTTCATCGTTTTTAGTATTCAAATTTTGAATGACTCTCGGAATTTCAAATGACAATTCTTATAACAAGCATTGAAAATAGGAAGACGGATTGAATTTATTTTTAGGGTTGTCAAAAAAATTCCCATCGATTGTTTTCTTCAATAGAAAGGAATGATATTCTAGCGAATGGTCCTTGAAAAGTGTGTTGTTATTCCAAGTAGTATATAAGGAAACAAAAATGACAATGGAACAATATATTGAAATTGTTTTAAATCGAATGAGGATTTTCAATGATCGTCTAAGCGGTTGAAATATAGGATATAGTGTTGGATCTCTATAAGCATAGTAATTAGTACTAAATCATTTTAAATATAAATAAACAACAAAATATTTATAAATAAATATAAAAATAAACATCAACAATACATTACACAAATCTACTGTCTTCTCCGCTTAGGTTCTGTCATTGGTGGCTTCTCTTGTTCGAAATCTGTATGAGAATACAAAGGTTGATGAGCGAGATGATCCATGATCTCCTTTGAAGGAGTCATTGGTGGATAAAGAGGTGGAACTACTGGAAATGGCTGAGGAACTTCACTTTCTTCTTTTTCTAATTTTTGGATTTTAGATTTCAGGATTTCCATGTCTTCTTTGTTCTGTTCTATCCTTGCTGACATATTCTTGATGATTGATTCTTTAGTTCTTATGACTAATCTGATTTGAGGAATTAATCTTCTCAATTCTCCTTCCGATAATTGGGTATTTATTGACTTCTTCAGCTGGGTATTGTTCTTCTTCATTAATTTAACCTTCTGTTCTAACTCTTCTAGTCTTTGTTTTTCTGGATCGATCATTTTAATAGCTGCTTCTCTTTCTTGGGAATCCCGTTTCAGTTTTTCGAGCGTTTGACTTAGTTCTACGAGTCTTTCTGAGATAGCTTTGTATTTTTCTTTGGTCTTTTTATGTCTTTTTGAAATTAAATCATATTCATGCCTCAAACGCTCATTGTCATCGTTTAGAATTGGAATTGTATTCTCCATTTCGTATCTTCCGAGTTTTTGGTTCTCTAAAAAAGCAATAATTCGATCTTTATCGGAAGAAGAAGCCTGGAGGAGGTCGTATTGCTTCTGGAGGTCATTTAATTCATCTAAAGCGTCTTCTATTTCATCTTCTCTTATCATATTCTTTCTTTTCATATGAGATATTTCGGCTTCGTTTTGTTTGATTGATTTGGAGTCTTCAGAGTCCAAATCATCTTCAGCAGCAATACTTTCTATGTTCTTTTTGTAGAAATCAAGTTCCTGTTGACGACATCTGCTTTTAAGATCGTCAATTGTAGTTTTTTCTTCAGCTAATGTTTCTGCACGCTTTATGGCTTCATGTCTGAGTCTATTTAGTATATCAAGAGCATGCTGATCTGTGATAGAATCCATTCTTTGTTTCAATAAGTCATCTTCTGTAAAATCTGGCTTATTTGACTTAATGGATTGACGATCAAAATCAATTTGAATGGGCATATCGATGAAAGAAGATGATTCTGTTGTGATGGAAGCAGGAGATGAAGCATCTGAAATATTTAAAGGATCTCCGTTCTCTGTTAAGACATCATCTTGGATAAGGAGTGATGCAATGGAGTCACGATCGTTTATAAGGTTGTTAACTTCAAGATTTAACTCAAATTGTGAATTTTTATCTAAATTCAGTAAAGATTCACTAGCTGTAGAAAGTTCTTCGACTGTAAGTGAGTTTGGTGGTGTTTGAGCTGATTTTTGAGAGTTTTTATCGCTATCTTTTGTATTTTGATTTTCATTTCCGGCATTTGATGCCTTATGTGAACTGTGTTTGCTAGCCCTACTCCTCGATTGTGATTTTCTCGATGAGCGGGATCTTTGTGAATTTTCGGATTTTTCTTCATTATTAACTTCATCTGGGTTCTTTTTCGATGAAGTACGTGATGATTTTTCTGATTTTAAGTTTTCCTCGTTATTATTTTCGCTTTTAGCTGAAGATTTCATTGATTTATTTTCGCTATTTTTGTCAGATTCAGGTTTATTATTATCCTCATTTTCTTTTTTAGACTCACCATCATCTCCTTTCTCTGTTGTAAGTGTATAATTATAAGTATCTGATGAAATACTCAGTGCTTCGTTCAAATCTTCTTCATAACCATGAGGATTCGTAAAATACTCTGATGAAGTATGATCATTGGACTCTACTAATGTGATTGTGTCCGCATTTTTAACATCTGGAAGTGAAGGTAGATTTAAATTAAAATCTGGTAGATCTGGAAGAGCAAGATCGTGTACAGATGCGCCGGATACCTTTCCAGCATTTGTGAAATCCCCAAAATCAGGGAGTTGCAAATTTAAAAGATCATCCGCCATCAAAATCTACTTAACTGATTCCTAACAGAAATTTCTCATATCTCAGGATCTAGATGATATTAGGAAATGTCACCATAACAAATTGTTTTTACACACTAAAAGAAAATAAAAATGATCTTTAAAACATTAGTTTATTATTAAAATATATTGAATTATTTCGTAATCAAAGGAATTTCTTCTATGAACCATACGTTATATTGCATTTTATGAGTTATTGAGGAATTCAATATTCAATGGTCGAAGAATTAGAATCAAAACAAAAATATCAGGAATATTGTTTCAAAGTTCTGAATTATTAATATATCCTTGGAATATGTGTAAGGTGATAATAAATAAAATCAATATTTATAATCAAAAAATAGATAATACTTTATTAAAAATATAATATTTCAAAAGTAAATTTTCGTACAATAAATTTGAATACAGCCTGTCTAGATTTGAGGGTTGACTCAAGGAAATCTTATTCAGTACCATAATGATCTTGATTTTCCAAAGTTACGCGAGAAATTGGACCGTAGTTATTTTCTCCAATTGTAATCGATGTTTCATTGAATTTAATATCTTTGTATTGAATATTTGTAAGGATAGCAGTTTCATCGGAGATTTTGTTTTCTTCGGAAATGATTTTTCTTATTAAAACTAATTGGTTTCTTGTCCACTTAAATTGGAGAGAAATATCATTCATGTAAAATGAAACTTTGTAATCTTTGAAAAGATATCCTTCCTTATCGCACGAGAATAAGTCAGGAGAGTATTCATATGTAAATAAATTCTCTTCATCAGCTGGTAGGAAGAAATCTGCCTTTGAAAAATGTCTAACTATTGAGTCTGGATCATCAACTAAAGTAGGCATTGGTTCAAACTCAGAAATGAAGGAATAATCTAAAATATCAATAGCAATGAATGTCGAATCATGCAGTGCCTGTGAAGCTACACCAAATCCTGGCATCGCTGGGTAATGTTCAATTGGTTCTACAGCTGTTACAGCAACAACAACGCCGTAGAATCTGAAGTCATCTTCTATTTTACGAGTGTCTTCGAGATTTATCGAATCCTGCTTGCCAAATAAAGGAGCACTTGGTGATGTACGTAAAACATCTGGTGAATTCTTTTTAGGCTTTTCTCCTGGGAATAAAATGCCCATATGAGCCAAAATGGCAACTAAATCTGACTTTATTGAGTATGGACGGCTGCCATAAACCATTTGTTGAGTAAAAACTGGATTATCAAGAATGAAATGCTCAACAGGAACAAAAACATTGATTGTATCACCTTCGGATTTAAGAATGTTCTCTATTTTCATATTCTTTGAGTATCTGATCGCAGAAAAGCTTTTATTCATTCAACAAATTTGAGAAAAAAAATTGTATAGTTTACGATTATTGTCACTTTAATAAAAATCAAGTGTTTGAAAATTGCTGTTCAATAGCTATTGTGAGAATTCTTTTGATGTAGAATGATTTCATTTGTAGAGAAGATGAATGAATTAGAATGTTATAAGCTTTTTGCTTCTTTTAATGATTAAATCATCAAATTATGCATTCGATAAGTTGTATATCAACGATCAATCTAGTTGCCAATGTTATATCTAATTTAGGAGAAATGTAATAAAAACTCCATTTTTTACCTTAGAATGGCGTATTTGCAGGAAGTGTATCATAAAATGAAGAAACATTAAGCAAGATCTTATATGTAAATCTTCTTGTAAGAACAATGCTCTGATATTTTAACTAAATTATTGATAGTCCAACTTATATATTGTTACTTTTAAGGTTTTTTCATACAATGATAACATATTCTAAAGGAAAAATTTTAGTTGCTAAATTCTGTTCGGGATGTGTGGATGTTTGAGCCAAAAAATAAGGAAATAGAATCGAATTTGTGATTCAACAAAAATTATGGAAATAATACATTGGAAAACGATCAACTTGTTGAAAACTTAAAGATTTATTGAATAACAATACATAAGAAAATTCCAAAAAAAATTCAAAAAATAAAAAACGAGTCTAAATTTCTAGATTTTCCGAATAAAATCATAATATTTTAAAAAATTTGGAAAATAGAATCGATTTGTTTTTTGTAGAACTCCTAAATTTCAAAACAATATTGGGCAAAATCAGCAGATAAAGTAATTTCATAATCTGATCGGTTCCGGTAACAATTTCAAATCGAAAAATGATCTTCATATTTTTAAAAGAATACAATTTGATCAAAATAAACACAATTAAAAACGATTGAAAATAAAAAGATCGAAAATTAAGTAAAGAACTCAAACAAATTTAATTAAAAAACAAATCATGCTTCAAGATGGTGGGCTGGAACAACGTAATAATAGACTGGTTGATTGAGGTTTCCATTTTGTGGATAAACGTAAGCGTATTGCTGAAGTTGGACTGGGATAGGGTAACGATTAACATTCTGTTGAGGTTGAGCAACAACTGGTGGAATAGCTTCGTTATCTGCACGGTTTTGCGCCCGTTTCGAGCAGCATTTGTAGCAACGATAGATAGCGCAGAAGACGATAAAGATCAAGGCGTAGACACTTCCAAAGTTAGCAGCTTCTGTAAGGATGACAGTTAGACCTAAATCTTCGTAACCAATTTCTTTTTGGGGAGGAGGGTTGTTTTGGATAGGTCCATCAATGGAGTCACTGTCTGGGAGTCTGAAATAGGAAACTCCATTGGAGACAGAGTTCGTCTCAAGAACGTTCGTATAATTAGTTTTGGCGCGTGACTTGACTTGGATCTTGAAATAGGAATCATCATTAAGGTCTTTGAGAGAGATATAGTAAAGCTGAGGTGGCTGGGTCTTGAAATTAAGAAGTGAATTATTTTCTCTATAGATCGTGACGTTTCGGTTATAATATGGAACATTTGTTTGATAGCGGATCTTGTGTACATGTGTGGAAGCATCGAGGATGCAATATGTATCCGTGGAATCTGTGTTAATATCTAAGGAGAGATGAAGGTATGTAGAGTTAGTATAGTAAATGTGATCACAGTCCGGAGAAACGAAAACATCCGCATTCAAATGGGTGTTGATCGTAGCCGTGATTTCCAAAGTGAAGGGTCCCATAAGTGAAATTCCCTTACCCATATTAAAGTTTGAGTAGTTTAAAGAATTTACGCTTAATTTGAAATTAAAAAGATGAGGTGAATGGACAAATATTGAACCTCTATTATCATTTATAGAAATTGTGACTGTTTCATTGGCCTCAATGAATCTACGGATAGAATGGGAGCCAATATTATTGTAATAATAGTGAGCAGAAGTCGTAGTTTGGAGAAAGAGAGATAACATTCAAATTTTATTTAAAATTTTTTCTCGATCATTTTTGAATTCAAATTCAAGGTTAAGTATTTTAAGGTATTGTTGAAATTTTAAATTTATTAGCAATTAAATGAAAATAAAACCAATCCGATAATTTAGAATTCAATCGTTTTGAATTTCATTCATTTTTTTGAGAAATATCTCATCGTAAAAAAGTTCTTTGTTAGTTAAAAATAGTAATTACATATATATCACTATTTTATTTTCAATTGGATTGCAATTATGGTTCTCTCAAAAAATCCAAGGTTTTATCTCGTTTTACATAATTTGCAACCTCTATTGTTATAGACCGAAAATAGATTTTTTCGGTTTTCTCTTCAAATAATTGAAAGAATGATACTATTATAGGTTTATTATATTATATAGCATATAATCATGCTATAGCCGAAAATTATAAGTTTTGAGAAGATTGAATATAACACAAATAAATTTGAATGTAAGTTAAATTGCTTGTTGTTTTTAATAGCTATTTAATGTGAAATCCAATATTGCAAAATTCAAATTGAATGATTGAAAGAACAGAAAAAGTCATTCTTTTCAATTTCGAATATGTTTCATTGTATTTATAATTATATGGCAAATAAGATATTTAAACTTGATTTTTGAAGGAAAATTCACAAAATTGAATAAATTCAAATAATTTTTATTCAAAAATAAACTAGTTATTTGAGTTTAATACTAATTATCTATTCAAACTACAAAGTTTGTAATTTAAAATATTTTGTGAGATCAGATTGAATTAATTCAAGGTTCTTTTCAATTAATATTAATGACCATATTACGCATTTTCGAACATTCTAAACCAAATATATAAAAATGGGAGACGAATGTTAAATTTGCTAGACATGGGGGAGTTGTCTGCAAAGTTTTAGCTCTTATCTCTAACAAAAAATTAATTTTTAAAAAAATGACCGAATACGTTTCACAGCGAGAAAAAAATAAAAGGCAAGATAGAATTTTCTAGACATAAAGAAGTTGTTTACCGAGTTTTCGCTCTTATCTCTAACAAAAAATTAATTTTTAAAAAAATGACCGAATACGTTTCACAGCGAGAAAAAAATAAAAGGCAAGATAGAATTTTCTAGACATAAAGAAGTTGTTTACCGAGTTTTCGCTCTTATCTCTAACAAAAAATTAATTTTTAAAAAAATGACCGAATACGTTTCACAGCGAGAAAAAAATAAAAGGCAAGATAGAATTTTCTAGACATAAAGAAGTTGTTTACCGAGTTTTCGCTCTTATCTCTAACAAAAAATTAATTTTTAAAAAAATGACCGAATACGTTTCACAGCGAGAAAAAAATAAAAGGCAAGATAGAATTTTCTAGACATAAAGAAGTTGTCTACCAAGTGTCAGCTGTTACTTCTTCTCAATACTGATATAAAATAAAAATCTTTATTATTTATTTAACCTTTATTGTTTCATTAAACTTCATTTATTTTATATTATAGTTTTATTCTTTTAGCTACTTGTAAAATAATCTAATTTTATATCATCATTTTACCGGATTATTCTTCAGTGCATCGATTGTGTATCTAAAATAATATCATTATCCTTATTCTGTTTTTTCCAAAATTCTTTTAAATATCTTTTTGGTTAGATTACTTTATACTTTTTACTTTTATTTTTTAATTTCAAAAAAAAATTTGGTGATTGTTCTATTCTGTTACAATGTGCATTATCATATTCTAATGAATTATTCATTACATACATTTAAAAAAACTTGTTAAAAATGAAATTAAAAAAATTATGTTTATTATTACGCTGTGAATGTGTCAACAGCGGTCATGCCTGTATCTGTATCCCATATTTGCCACAACCTTTCTGTATCTGCATTTGTGTATTTCGGTTTCAGCTGATACATTTGATTTGGCGTGTAATTTGTTCCAGTTAATGGATTAATTGGGAGATCTTCATGCGGTGTGTTATTATTGTACTCCCAAATAAAGGCAGGAATAGCCTGAATGCTTTGGCAGCGCTCCAATGTCGGCCAGAATCTCTCAATCTTCCCATTTTGGTAGGGAGAATGAGAGTCTGTATGCCGCCATTGGACGCCCCAAAGATCAAGTAGATCTTGAAAGGCGCCCCTATTTTCTGAACCGTTGTCGGTCCAGAAACAATAAGGGGCGCCAAATTCAATGAAGGCGGAAGCCGCAACGTTCGCTGTCGTCGCTGCTAGCATATCTGGTATTTGTATACACGCTAGGACTTTGCGGCTAAAATCGTCGATTATGCCATAAATATACTGGCCAAGAACACCCCTAAAATAATGAACATCTGCGTGCCAGATAAGATTGGGTGAAAGCGCCCAATATCTTACTGCTGTTTCTGGCCCGGCATGCTCTAATCGCGTCTTGGTGAAATGATTTTCTTTGAAGTATCTGCGTACTTCTCTATAAGATACATCAATTTGTTGTAATTTCAAACGTTTCCATTGTTTTGTTTGACCACAGGGAAAGGCCCAGTGGTCATGTATCACAGCAAGAGCTTTGATTTGGTCGTAGGGATTGACCCTACGACCTTTCTTGCCTTTAGGCAATGGGATATTCTGTAAGCTAAATTGATTTTGTAAAAAAGATTTTGAAACATCTAAATATTTGAAATCATTTGATTGAAGGGTTGGGGTGATGGGAACATGGGTGCAAGCTTCTTCCCATGTCATTTTACCTTCTTCAATCTGATTGGAAATACCAATTAGGTAAATTCGATCGACATACCCTTTGTAAGGATTCATTCTAATGAAGTACGTTAACAATCAAAATATTCTATAAGTGTCTAGTATGGAATTCAAAAGAATAAAGAAAATGGTAACGTAAATAAACGTATTATGAAATAATTTATAATTAAAATGAAAAAAAGAAAAAATAATAAGTAAAGTGACTGGAAATGAAAATTAAAATCAGTGTATGTTGTAAACAGAAATTCATCAAAAGTGACACCTCAGAAAAGCTAAAATATTGAATTTTTGGAACTTTTGATAGAGCACGTTTTTAAATATTAATTAAAGTAAATGTATATTTTGTAAAGATTCTTTTTAATAAAAAAATAAAATTTTGAAGAAGAACACAAAATCTTCTGAAAAATAATATCACATAAACTCATATTATTTTCTAATATATAACTATTTTATATAAAATCAAATTCAATGATCTTAAAAGCGAAGGATAAACCTCAAAATTTACGAATATAATGAGTGGGGATATAATGCTTATCTATCATAAAACCATATGAAATATCAATTTTTGCTTTACGCCTAATTTTTGACGACAATTAGCAAAAAATGTTAAATGTTAACACTCAGTCCATTTGAATATGAAAAATAAAATTGACTTTGATTAAATGTTTTTATTTATCATGCAATTCTTCTTGCGACCAAAGATTTGAATAAAAGTTCAAAAAATAAGATAGCTTAAAAAATAATATACGGTAGTGTTTACTAATAGATGAATAGTATATAAATTCTATTAAAATGTATTTGATCCAAAAAAATATATAAAATTTGATCATAAATAAAATCGTTTTAAATTACTTCTTCATTTCAATTATAACAATTCTTTTTGGTTTTATATTTTTTTGGATCAAATCCATTTTAATAGAATTTATATACTATTCATCTATTAGTAAACACTACCGTATATTATTTTTTAAGCTATCTTATTTTTTGAAATTTTATTCAAACCTTTGGTCGCAAGAAGAATTGCATGATAAATAAAAACATTTAATCAAAGTCAATTTTATTTTTCATATTCAAATGGACTGAGTGTTAACATTTAACATTTTTTGCTAATTGTCGTCAAAAATTAGGCGTAAAGCAAAAATTGATATTTCATATGGTTTTATGATAGATAAGCATTATATTCCCACTCATTATATTCGTAAATTTTGAGGTTTATCCTTCGCTTTTAAGATCATTGAATTTGATTTTTATATAAAATAGTTATATATTAGAAAATAATATGAGTTTATGTGATATTATTTTTCAGAAGATTTCATTCTATATGCCTATGAAAAGTACTCTCAAAACTAACTTTTCCTAATTATAATTAAATCTAGAATATTGTATTATGCTTAGTATTATTTCATTTTTCTCATTCAATTTAGAATTTACAAATGTCAAAAAATTGAGAGCTGTCACTTTTGATGAATTTCTGTTTATTACAGTGTACAGTTTTATTTTTTTCTCGCTGTGAAACGTATTCGGTCATTTTTTTAAAAATTAATTTTTTGTTAGAGATAAGAGCGAAAACTCGGTAAACAACTTCTTTATGTCTAGAAAATTCTATCTTGCCTTTTATTTTTTTCTCGCTGTGAAACGTATTCGGTCATTTTTTTAAAAATTAATTTTTTGTTAGAGATAAGAGCGAAAACTCGGTAAACAACTTCTTTATGTCTAGAAAATTCTATCTTGCCTTTTATTTTTTTCTCGCTGTGAAACGTATTCGGTCATTTTTTTAAAAATTAATTTTTTGTTAGAGATAAGAGCTAAAACTTTGCAGACAACTCCCCCATGTCTAGCAAATTTAACATTCGTCTCCCATTTTTATATATTTGGTTTAGAATGTTCGAAAATGCGTAATATGGTCATTAATATTAATTGAAAAGAACCTTGAATTAATTCAATCTGATCTCACAAAATATTTTAAATTACAAACTTTGTAGTTTGAATAGATAATTAGTATTAAACTCAAATAACTAGTTTATTTTTGAATAAAAATTATTTGAATTTATTCAATTTTGTGAATTTTCCTTCAAAAATCAAGTTTAAATATCTTATTTGCCATATAATTATAAATACAATGAAACATATTCGAAATTGAAAAGAATGACTTTTTCTGTTCTTTCAATCATTCAATTTGAATTTTGCAATATTGGATTTCACATTAAATAGCTATTAAAAACAACAAGCAATTTAACTTACATTCAAATTTATTTGTGTTATATTCAATCTTCTCAAAACTTATAATTTTCGG